ACAATTTAAAACACTAAAATTCATTTTACTTAGGTCTAAATACTCTAAACAACTTCTATTAACTTTATTTGAATCAATGAGTTTGGACCCATAACCTATATAGATTGAAATCACCATCATTATCTAAACTCTAACTTAAATCCTTAAAATAATGGAGGAGAAAAGGAGAAAAAAGGGTTTAGGAATCTTACTTTGGATGATTTAAAGCTTCAAACCTTCTCAATCCTCTCTTGGATCGTGCTCTAACAGAGTTTGGTGTGTCTCTTCCGCTTTCTCCTTTCTTCCTCTCTATTTCTATCTAATTTTTGTGACTGATATTTGCAAAATTCACACCGTGCACCACGACGCATGTCCCCACACGCCACTACATATGGTACAAAGAAGGCAACTCTCATTCTGTAGCCTTATGAGTTGCGGCATGTGGCATAGAGACTTTTCAACTTGTTTTTCTCCACTTTTTAGTCCTTAAGTGACCCAATTTTACTTTAGAATTAAATTATACTTGAAAATTTAACTAAAAGCACTTATTATTCTCCTCTGACTACACACCATGTCAACTTACTTAATTATCCTAATTAAGCTCAGTAAATTATGGAATTAAAAATCAAGATGTTACATATATGATGATTAATTAACATCTATAAAAATTCACTTGGGAATATTTTTTGTCTGCATTAGTGAAAAAATAGTCAACTTTTACTTAAGTGTCAGCTAAACAGTCAACATTTAAGGGATTTAATGAATTGGTTACTTTTGCACCAACTCTAAAATATTATGGGTATTTTTGCTTCTAGCCAACAGCTTCGTGGATACTTTTGCTCCCGGTCAATGAGCTAGTGGATATTTTTGTCCTTTTATTAGTCTATATCAGTAAAGACTAACACATGACATGTACAGTCAGCATTTAATAGTCAAAGTTAATGACGTTAGGTCAAAGTTAACTGTTTGGTCACTTTTGCACCCCCTCATGTAACGTTATAGGTATTTTTACCCTTTTTCTTACTTTAGGATATTGGGTGCATCTGGCTAATTACTTTATGGGCATTTTTACTCCTTTATCCTGATGAATTAGTATGTGGCAAAGTTGAGAAAAATTACTTTATCGGCTTTGAGTTATATAAATTGCACAGCACTATTTGTATTCAATTTGCAACTTGTTTGCTTTATTTCTTTTTAAAAGAAAAGTTATCCTACTTAAAGCATGACTGGCAACGCTAAAAGTAGCCCATATTTAATGTTTGACTATATTTCAAATAGGATTGCTTCCAACTTGTGGCTAATAAAAAAAATTAAAGTTAGACAAAATTGTGTACACTAATGCTAAAGTTAACAAATATCATTATTATTCCCTGAGAACTTATTTATAAAACAAGAGAGAGAAGATTTTTTTTTATTTATAAGTCACACCATTAAATTTCACCACAAATTTCTCCTTTTACTTCCCATTAAATGTTGGAGAGAAAAATCATGTTGTTAAAATATGTATATTTAATAGTGGTAAAGTTAAAAATTTATTAAATTTATAGGTTAATGTGTTTTTAAGGTTTTTCTTGATTTTGAAAAAACATGTTGAAAATAATTTATAAATAAAATCATAAGAATAATTGAGTTCATGTAGTATAATAAGTTTAAAATAAATTATGCTTCTAATAACTTATGATTACTATAAACTTAAAGAGGTTTTATAAAAAAAATAAACAAATTAATATTAATTGTAATGAGTATAAAATATAAAATTTATAAATTATAAATTATAAAATCATGACTTAATAGTTATTACTCCCTTTATACTACAATCTATGTCATTGATAACTAATTCACATTTTATGAACAATGTTAGATGAAATTTTATTTTCCTAAAAATGTTCACATTTTTATATTTCTGCCCTTGAGTTCTCCAAGTAATAAATACATTATCTTTAAATATAAAGTATTTAAAGATAGGGAATTTAAAAAAAAAGAAAGAGTATAAATGGTAAAAAAACATACTTTTTATGCTAAAAAATGTAAGGTATTTTCTAAAAGTTTAGACGTTAAAAAATATAAGATATTTTAGTCTTTCAAAGTGTAATCATTTTTTTTTTCAAAAGTACTCCTATTGAATAAATTACTTTATATTTAGGGAGAATTACATTGAAATCTCATACAAAAAAATTAATTACTACAAGGTCTAGTGACAATTGAATTAAGGAGTCACTGGACCTTGTAATAATTAATTTTCTTGTGTGAGACTTGGATATAATTCTCCCTTATATTTATTTTAGGGTGAAGCATCATGTTAAATAGGGGTAAATATAAAAAGATGGGTTTGTTTGAACACAAGTAATTACTTTATTAAGAGTGAGATTCAGTTATAAATGATTTATATTTTTTAATAGAAGGAATAAAGTTTACTCAATACTCTATACTTTGGACCAAGGGATGCTTTTACAAAGCAACTTATATTGTGGTCTAAAGAAAGTATCTCAATTTTCTATTATAGGAGGTCTTCTATAAGACTTCTATAAGATTATTAATTAACATTTTTCAATTTTATTCTATTGTAAATTACTAAAAGAAAATTTTAATTTTAATTTAGTGTTATTTTTATAAATTAATTTCATGTTTCTATAATAATTGAATGCTCTAATAAGGGAAAAGTCAGTTCCAAAATATGATTGAAAATGACTTATAAGGAATATTGAAGACAAGAGTGGGTATTACTTAGATTAGACTTGATTGATTATGGATTTTTTTTTTGGGACAAGAATTATGGATTTAATATTTGGTTTATTAGTTTTGTTCACTTTTATCTTATTTATAAGTTATTTCTAACATTTTTGCTAGATTCAAGAAAAACTTTAAATCTCGTTAACTTTATTTAAAAATTCAATGAGTTTTTAACTTTATTCATATTAAATATATATACTTTAAAAAAAAAAGCAAAACTAATGTATACCAATCCTTATAGTTTCTTCTAATTTTCAATTAGGTCCTTAGATTTTTATTTTCTTTTCATTGAATCCTCTAGGTCGTCTCTATTAGATGTTTTGGTCCCTATAATGACCCATCATTATCCTATGACACACTCCCTAATCAATGCTTTTAATTGAAGAGCTAACCAAGATTTATATAAGCTTTTAGCAAATAAACTGGACCTGGGATCCCACACGTGATCAATATGATATTCAAAGTAAATAAGCAGAAACGAATAAGGAAAATTGATACATTGAAAACTTAAAGCCAGAGAGTAGAAGAGACAAATTTTAGGTCTCATTATGTTAGCTCGCCGCAACCAACAACACTTGTCCACATTCCCCTCAACGAACATGCCCACTAGCCGCAATAAAGAGTACAGAAGCCACTTGTCATGGCCTATGACACCACTTGCCATGGCAACTCCCTTTTGACATGCTCATCACATCCAAACGACTACCTTTGTCGCAACAACCCTTGCACCAGCAAACTTATCTGACAATATGCTCCTAATTATTCTTGAAATTCTCTAAACCTTACTACGTAAACACCTTATTAATATGAAACCGAAGCCCATATATTCAAAATTAAGTAACTAAGCTATTGGATTTGACTTCAAGCCCTTCCAATGCAATGTGAGGATCCCAGGTCACTAAGTGCTAACTTGAGTCCTAAGATCCTTTGCACAATAAGAATGCCTCCTCTCTTAATTCCAATACATTCATATACACATACATATTCATGCATAAACATCCTAATCCTTATTATAATAGGCCATAACAAGCTCTAATTTGGCATAACACTTGCACATTTGCATGGTTGGCCTCCCTCTAAAAAATAAGGGCTAGCAATCATAAAATTGCCCAAGATTATAATTAGGCTCCTATGCAAATGAAATAATCCTCACATATATAGAATTATGCATTTGTTCTAAAGTTGGGAAACTAACAATCTTATTGCACAATAAATAAACTAGAGACATTACAAATTATTCTCTAGTTCTTGGGCATAGAAGCCTCTCTCTCTCTCTTTTTTTGCCTTCTCATCCCCTGGAAAATATTAAGTAACGGGAGTGAAATTTAACAATCTCAATAACTAATAAACTTAAAGAGAGCATATTAAAGTGTGGCAATTATATTTAGAACAACCAATAACATAAACAAGTATATCATTTCATAAAACACATTTTGCACAAGTATCATGCTTATAATAATGCAACCATCTTATATCTTTCCTTATATCATCTGATTGAATCCATGTGCTATTAAATTGTGTACACCTAGTTCATGTGATTAAAACTAGTCTCACTCTCCAAATGTGAGGGTTTACTTAGCCAAAGGCTCCCACATTTGCTCTCAAATCAATATGTTTCCATTACTTAAATTTTAGCGTGTCATAATAAGTTGCACAAAAAAAAAAAAGACTTTTGGCTGCAATAATTAAAAGTCATCTATTCATGTAAATTTATGAGAATTTATATTTTTTTCTTCACTTTAAGCTACTGAATCCCTCTAGCTGACAATTTTATGAGTATTTTTGTCCTTTTATCCAAAATAATTCTAAAGACTCAAGACTTGATAATTAAAATTTACATGAAATTATAAAAGTTGGCAGATTAATTTTTCCAAATTTTTTCAATATTTAATGAAAGCAAACGAATAAAAATGATACAATAATAATTAAATTAAAATTTATTATAAATACTATTAAAATAAATTCTCTCCCTACCTATACGACCAGAAGAGTATGTTAATATAAAAAATTAGAAAAGGAAAAATTACATTGAAATCTCATCATAAAAAAATTAATTATTATAAAATTTAATAATAATTAAATTAAAAAAATTAGTAACTGATTGTGTTATTAATTTTTTTAATTTAATTATTAATAAATTTTATAATAATTAATTTTTTTATGTGGACGTGGATGTAATTCTTCCAACTAAAAACAACTCAACAAAACGCTGTTAATCGACCCACTTTAACAAGCGCCAATCCCATTGGCTTCACTGCTCCGTAGGCTCAAACTGTACAAAATCCTATAAGCTACAAGGAAACCCGAAGACCTCAGAAATATACCATTGCCAACAAAGCAAGCTCAGTCATGGCGGGCTCTGATCCCCACAAGATGATGATCAAAGCTGACAAGCTGTGAGTTCATCTTTCTCATTTTGCTATTCATTTCTCTCATTGATATGATGCGTAAAGAAAGTGTTAATTCCCTTGAGATTTTGCGATGCACGCTTTTGTGGGCAATCTGTGGTGAAATTAATTCTGGGAAATTTCGCGCAATGAGAGAGCCTGGAACCCGATCAGTTGATTTGAATGATCATGGTTTTGTAAAACAACGGAAAATTTCTCAGATAAGTGGTTTTTTCATCTTTCGATTCAGATGAGTGTAGAACTGATGGTAGAATTGATTCATGGATTGTTGCTTTGCGGTGGCCATGATTGTAGAAAAATGCTGCAAGTGCAGAGTCAACAACTGCTAGGGTCATACTCTCTTCGTAGTTCATTGATTATAGAGTCCGTTAAAAGAACTGGGTATCGATAAAGTTCTTAGCTTCATATGTTTTCGAATTGCTTATCTACTTGAAGTTACAAATTAAGCATTTGATGCTGCTTTTGATTCTCTTTCTATGACTTTAGTTAAACCCTTTTTTTCCTTATATTTTTCCCCCTCTCAGAACTAAACTTACTCTTACAAGGTGGAGTGCAGACTGGAAAAATGCTACTGCCCTCTATGAGCAGGCGGGTAAAAAATATGTTTTTCTAAACTATTGATTGCACATGCAAGTAACTTTGTGGCTAATCTATCAAAAATGAGAAAGCATGTTCGTAAATATTCTAACCTTTTATTCTACTGTAGCAAATGGATTTAGAGTTGCCAAGGATTATGAGAGAGCAAAAGAAGCTTATGAGAAAGCTTCTAAAGGGCAAGAAATGCTTTCTTCGTATCCTGATTTTTATTGTAGATTTCTTGTCCTTGAACAAAATTAATTGTTCCATAATGTTTTTATGTTCATTGCGTTAAACTGTCTCTCTAAATATTTCCTTTACAAGCAAACCAGACCTTGGGATGCTGCTAAACATATGGAATCTGCCGCCAGTCTAGCAAAGGACCTAAGAAACTGGAAAGAGGTTGAGGACTTCTATCGAAGGGCATCTGAATTGTACATTGAGTGTGGGAGACCTCAACCTGCATCAGATGCTCTAGCGAAGGGAGCCCGGTGAGCAAATTGTTTACTTTTGCTTTGCTATCATATGATCATTATTACTCTCAATTTGAAGTTGAAGGCAACACTTTCATCCTTTATAACATGATGTAGATGCTCAATGAACCTTTACTTAATAATTTCTCAATAATGTTCTAACCTTTTTCTCTTCTGTTTAGTTAATCATGGCTTGATATGCTGAATTTAATTTTACAATAAGTAATTACTAGCCATTGATGTGAGACTGTTAAATGTGATATCACGGATCTTTTGTCTTATTCCACTCAATCAAATTACGGTACTTACGGATGCTATGATAAAGTCTTTCCTTTCCTTTCCCTTCCCTTTTCTTTTTATTTTGCGCCACACCCCAAAAAAAAAAAAGAGTGAAGTTTTTATATCCTGGATTTTAGTGCATCATGTAGCCTTTGCATATAGCTTGCTTATTTCACTTTTTATCATAACCACATGATACATATCTTATCTTCCCTATACAGTGCATTGGAAGAGTCCATGCCGGAAGAAGCAATTCAGTTATATACTGATGCTTATACGATTCTTGAAGATGATGGAAGAGAACAAATGGCCTTTGATCTATATCGTGGTGCTGCCAATGTGTATGTAAAACTTGAGAAGTAAGTATTCTCCAAACTTAAGATGATCATAATTTCCTTTGTTTATGGGATAGGGAGTATTCCTCTTTGTCCACTTAATTGCCACTAGCTGGAGTAAACTCAGGAAGTCTTGTATTAATTTGTTGTTAACTTATTAGTTTTTGTCATTCATACAATTGAATGGCCATTGATGCTTCTCTTTGTGCTTATTTATATAAGGTGACATATATGATGAAGCATAAGCCAAATGTTGAATCTTCTAAAGTATAATATGACATGTATAGAGTTTAACATCCTTGTACATGATAAAGCAGTTTTCCTACTCTAAGATCAATGGATACGGGATCCTGTATTCTGCTGCTATCCAGCATATGTTCGTATGTGGCACAAACCAGCAAAAATAGTTTTATGCCTGCCACCAGTTCAGATCTTTAACTTATTATCTATGATTGTTAGTCAGATTGAAATAGAACAAGAAGCAAAGTGAAGACTCTTGACCAACAAATGTTAGGGTCCATAAAACAGATGAATTTGAGGGCCACTAATATGCTAAAAGTGATGATGATTAAGGACTCAGTTGGTGATTGTTTTTGTGTTGTGAACAATACCTCTATATTTTTTATTGGGCACCAGAGGGTTTTAGGGTAGCTTGAGCAACAAGGTTTTTGAGTACTGTTTTTTTTTTTTTTTTTCCTGGTGATGTTGTTCAACCTGAAACGTGGAGGTACTTGTAGGAGTTTGTCAGCAATAAGCCTGCTAATCAATTTCAGTAAAATAGGAAGGAAAATAAGACTCATAAAGCGAAGAAATACAAGGACATAGATAAGAAATAAAATGTTGGCATTAACAGCAGTAACCACACACTAATTACAGTACAGCTGGAATCAAGGCATCAAGGAATTAAGTCATCATTATCTACAAGAGGATGTCTCCAGCTTCCCGCGCAGGATTCCTTTGGTTGATATCTCAGAAGTCAAATGGCTGAATCCAAGTAAAGCAGGATGCATAGATTCTCAAACTCTTTAAATGCTGATAACTTGTCAAGGTCTGTTTACTTAAGATCAAGCTATTAAGTAAAGGGCCATGAACAGTTTTGCTACGATTTTATACATGCCTTATCACACAAAACCCTTCAGGTTTGAAGTGTGGACAGACCATGTGCCTACCTTGAAGTACCAATAATTTTGATTGCAAAGGTTTGCATTGTATTCGATACATGGTTAATACCTGTGTTAAACATGATCTAAAACTTGAAACAACATTCAATCACTACATATCTTGCAGTTTTGTATTGTATTCAATACATGGTTAATACTTGTGTTCATATTGTGTCCTTTCTTCTATCCTAAATTTTAAGATGTTAGGTGAAGGCTGATGCATAGTTTTATACTTTTATTATAAGCTGAAAGAGATAGAAAGCATAAAATCTATTTAAATCTCCAAAACTTGTACAGGGATTGGGAACTGGCGTTTTGGATTGTTCTCTAAATTTGAAACCTTTGTAATTAAATCTAGACATTCAAGAAGGATAGATAAGGACCTAGCATTAGGTTATGATAGTGTTACAAAGTAATCTTACCATTAGATTCCCCTCATAGTGTGTTTTACTCTTTATAGCTTATTAATCCTTTGTTCCATTCCGTATTGTGCCACCCTGAACGATCAGAACTGCTGTTTTGGGCATCTGATAATATTGATACAAGTTACTGCATAGAAGTCTTAAGATACGTGGATTTTTCTCTGGCGTGTGGATTTGCAGTTGTACTGAACTGTGGTTTTAAAATGTGCAGATATACAGATGCTGCATCTGTCTTCATGAGATTGGGCTTATCAGCTGACAAATCTAATGCTACCAATACCCAATGCAAGGTCTGTAAATTATAAATTTTGTATTATTTTCATCAAACTCCATTATTCATATATTTATGCTAAAAAAAGGAAGCATATTATTATTTTTAGTGAACTATGAAAACGGATTTAGTTGCATTATTTCATGATGTTGGAGGATAGTGATGACTCTATTATAACTAAAGGAACCAAATGTATTCAAAGCTTCTTCTTCTTCTTCTCCTTTTCCTTCTTTGTCCTTCTTTTTCAAACTGTTCGCATGGCATAGAACTAATTTTTGTTTAATAATTATTGTTATATGTATGTCATTTTAAATCACTGTTTGGCTATCTATCCCTTTCAGCTTTCAAGTGAATACAAGTTTTGTTAAAATGGTAGTTATAACTGAACGTATGGTGGTAGATTAATGTTACTTTTAAATGTCATTCTAGTACAAAATTATGCTGTGAGTGGATCTGGGGTGCTAAGCTCATACGTAAGTAAATTGTAAAATGTGAATATTAAGCTGGGTTTTCAATTGCTATTTGGCTTAAATTTCAGTATTGGTTATATAGATGCATGTCTGATAAATCTCATAGTTTCTAAAAGTGTTTTACCTTTTTCCATTCTGTTTCTTGCTTTCATCTTTCTCTCCTTAATCTATGATAACCTGGAGACTTTGGGATGGAACATTCTTGTCTTTAGCTTCAAGTTCCTTCCTTTCATATTGGTTCAATGTTTCCTATTCCTAACCTAAGCATCCTCTATCACCATTATGTCCTTGCGGCAACTTTTATTTTGTTATTTCTTCCAAACCAATTTTAACTGCAATGCGTGCTAAATTTTTGGGTCATACTGATTTTAAGGGATAATTGTTGAATGGATGAATATAGCTCTTATTCAGTGGTTCTATAGATAATGTCTCAAGTCAATAAGGGCTTCGATAGATAGAAATGTCTTGGGTTATGAAGTTTATATCAAGATGCTTTAGAGGATACAAATGAATATTTGCATTTGGGTGTGTTTAGGTATATCACAATATAGGATGCAAGTGCCTGACAGAATTCTAGGGAGCTTTATTGCTGGTATGAATCTCAAAATGTAAAAATATTACAATGGTCAATGAAACAAACTTATATCCTTTAACTAAAGGGTAAACATTACCTTTGGTTGGACCTCCTCTATTGCCTTCTTGTTATCCTATTGAGTACGGGCCTGAGTTCACATATTATAGGAGGAGGCCCAAAAATGTAAGCGCATATCTAGTAGATTAGAAAAGGGTAATTGGGCTATTATGTATGTGTTCTGTTAAAGGAGAGAGGGAGAAGGTTGTTTTTTGGTGAGTGCATGGAGGGAGGAGGCTAATGAGAATTTAAAGGTGGTATTCTGAGAGTTTATGCCCTCTCAAATGCATAGGGGCTTTGGTATTCTTTCTTTTTTTTGTGACTAGTTTAGAGGAAGGTCTAAGAGAACACTCTTGGAAGTTGTTGAACGCGATCTCTTAATTAATAATATTCTTAAAAGCTTGATAAATGATAGAGCACAATGGCGTCTTGCAATCCATGTAGCTGACCCCACCTAGTGGGATAAAGGCTTGTTGTTGTTGTTGTTGTTGTAGTGTTTCTCCATTAGTACAAGGGCTGTCTCCTTCATTTTGGTATCAGAGTTGTTCCTTTTTGAGTAATGGTTAGCACTAGAATGGATCAATGTGTTGGTTGTTTGGATTCATGAATGCTCAAAACTGAACAGGGCATGGAAATGCTAGAAGGTGATGTCACTACTATGAAATGTGATATGGCCCTATGAATTCCTTAATGGCAGAAATGGCTGCTGAAATTTGTAAGCCTCATGGTGATGATAGCAGGGGGTATAACTCCTGAGACCTTGTCTGGTTTGAAAGTTACTTCAGAGCAGCCTCATATTATTGAGATAGGTGAGGGCAGTGGGTCTGATTCACTTGACATTTCTTCCTAGAAACTTGATAGGCCTCTTTTCTGGTGATGAACCTTTAGGTTGGATTTTCTGAGTTGAATAGTATTTCAGAGTAAATCGCATCACAGATGCCAGATCTGGTACACTGGATGCTGCTGTCTTATGCTTTGAAGGATGTGCACTCACTTGGTTTCAATGGTGTGAGGTTTGTTCTCCTCTTCACTCTTGGTCTGACTTTAAGTTAGAATTATGCATTTTCATCCCTCTCAAGTAGAAGGAAAATATGAAATGTTAATGGCCCAGTGTCAAAAGTGTTTGGTGGCTGAATGCATTTGAGTGTTTTGAACTGCTTTCAGCAACCATTGAGAGTTGCGATGAAGAGGTATTGATCGGTGCTTTCCTCAATGAACTCTACAAGGAAATTAAAATCGATCTTTGGGTTATGGAACTCCAAAAATTGTTGGAGTTTATGGATATGGCCTTGTGTATGGAAGAATGCAATTATGTTCTCCTTTCTGGTTACGCTCATTGTGAACGGACTACTCAACCTTTGGATTGGACTCAATGGGCCGGTGCTTGTCAAGGCCCATTTCATTTTGGGTCTGGGTCAGATGCCTTTAAAACAATGTCCATTACTGTGTCCCAGGTCTCCAAATTGTCAGATGACTCCAAAAAAATGGCCATTCCTGTCACTTACACCAACAAATCAGTGGCTAAGAAATCACTGATGCAGAAATTAAGCAGTGACGCAAGCTAGGGCTCTGTTTTAAATGTGACAAGAAATTTCATCCTGGGCATAAATGCAAAAAGAAGCAGCTCTTGGCTCAGTAGCCAAGGGGGAGAAGAGAGAACACTGTCTTACTTTGATAAAACAAACTATATTGTTTTTTGATTACTTCAACACAATGAAAAGATGCCTATTTATACTAGTTTAGGGTAGATATATAGGGGCTACAGTCATTAGTTATGGGATTTTATTCTGAAATGATAATGCAGGGGAGTTTTGGAGATAGTGGGGGTTATGTAGATGTAGGGTTATGGAGATGCAGCATTCAATTCTGTTTCAGGCATATAAGAATATGATCTCCTTTCCTCTCAAGACTATAAATGCAACTTAGTAACGTTGGAATGGACCTACTCATGACTTCCATCTCTTGGCCTTTTTCAATTGTGCATCTTTAGATCATCTCCTGGTCAGTCTAGTGCCATCAGTCCCTTGTCCCTACCACAGTCCCCATAATGCGAGACACTTTAAATTGTATGTGGGTACTTAAAGTTCTGCAGTGTCATAATATCATGTTAGCTCATGTCCTATGTTCATGGTGGTATCCATGCTTCCTATCTCGGATGAAGGTTGAGGCCTTGAAGGCAATGTACAAAAGAGGGAAAAAAATCAAGGATGTTTAATGACTCTGTTTGGGATTTTCAAACAGTTGAAATTTCTGTAAGCAGTGCATAGCTGCTGCATCATTGTTGCTCTTATCTCTGATGGGAAAAGAAATTTTCTTTTCTGAAAATATGCTATGTTCATGATTTGAGATTTATGACGTGTTATTTTTATGAAAAATTTTCTTACACATTTGTTTATTAATGCAGGCATATCTTAGTGCAATAATCGTTCATCTTTATGCCCATGATTTTAAGGAAGCAGAGAAGTGTTATAACGACTGCTATCAGTAAGCTGCTGCCCATCCTTATGCTATTGTTTGCTTATGTATCAGCTAATGTGTAATATAGAACTGCAGTTTGGAGTCCACTGCATCCACCACATAGTCCTGTTGGCCCGATGCAGTCTTGATACTTTCTTATACCATATTTATGATTGATTCTGCATAGCATTTAGGAATTAGGAGCTTTATTTTACAGTACGTCTGATGCAAATCTGATTTTTTTTCCCCAATTCATTATCTCTTGCTTTTCATTTGAGACTCAAATATCATAAACATATTTCTACCTGTTTTATAATGGCAAGACCTGACGCTCATTACTTAACTATTGATTATGAAGCATTGAGAACTTGATTTTTGGAATTCAATGTGTTTTTAAGGCTAACTCTTCAAAAACCACGAAGAAAATATTGGCATCCTCTCAGTTCCCATTTTTTCCTTCACTATCTTCTCTGCAATGATGCTCTGCCTCCTGTTTTCCTTCATGGGTACCTTTTATCATTAGTGGTGTGAAAGTGGTAGTCAACTAAATTTTCTGACATGCTCCAACTGAACTCAAGCAATAAAAAATGAGAGTGTCCATTTGATGGAGTCTCATATTTTGGAGCTACAAGTAATTCTTGTGGCACTTTAGTAGCATGGCCCTTCCTCCTTTCTAGCTAGTTTTTATGGGTGGGTTTCCCAAGTTTGCTTAGATTTCCATTACCGTCTGAATTGTTCCCCAATAATATAAAGAGCCATAAATATGGAATGTGAACAATACAAACGTCAGCAAATAGAAAGGAAAACCTGTGTGCAATGAGCCTCATATTTTCTTATGTCTGAAGCACATTATTGAGAAGGGCTAGTAAAGGCTTTCTTGTTGTGTGCAGAAACTCAGACAAATCTTGTGCAATTTTTGGTACACAGAAAAGTAGTTTCTAGAAAGGAAAAGGGAAATATACCTTAAAAAAAAGGGATAGGTGTATTTCTAGTTTCCTTTCTAGAAAATGTTTCTCTACCTACCAAACATTGCTTAAAGGGAAAGACTATGGAAGAATGATCAATCTTGAATATTCGAAATTCTTTTGAATATTGATATCTTTTTTTTATGGGATAAATGAAGTATTTAGTGAATGGTGACCACCTATAGCTCTTGGTAAATTACAACTTGAAATAAATTGAGAAAATTCATTTTCTAGAATACAAGGAGCAGCTATATGCGAAATAATTGGTCCCAAGTCTTGGAACTAGACATATTTTGTACTTGTTTTCTAACACAGACTCGGATGCTGTTATTACCATGTGTGCTTTTATATACATAGAGAGAAAAAGGGAGGAATTGGGAAAAATATATGGCAGTGCTTGCATAATCATTGAAAGACCCCAGCAAATGGGTTCCGAATGTTTTATCTCCACAAAAGTCTTCTGAAAGTTGCAGTACCATATTGAGAAATAAATGTTTCTGTGCCTATAATTATTGGGTTTTCTTCATTGACTTCCCAGTCCAATTGTTTCTTTGCTCTTAGACCATGATAGCCTGTATCCTGTGCATGAAATTTGCTTCTTTTTCTTTGTATAAAAAAATATGGAGTAATTATGTCATGCTATGCCTTTGCATTATGGGAACTGATAAATGAATTGTCATAATGTGATGTCTCTAGGATTGATGCCTTCGTCAAAAGTGACCAAAATCGTTGTGCCGCCAAGCTTCTTGCTGCTTACAGAGAAGGAGACGTTGAAGAAATCAAGCGGCTTGCTAATTCCAGCACTATTTCAAATCTTGACCATGTGGTAAAAGATTTAGTTCATATGCATCACTTTCCTCACTTTAACTATCATTTGTCTTCTGAGCTTGTTTTTGTCCCAAAAAGCTTCTATGCGAGTTTGTCAGAGATAGTCATAAACTCCTTTTCTTAGCTGCTCAAGTTTTTTAGTTGAAATGATCATGGACAATGCTCAAATCTAGAACACTGGTGTTTATCTTCGACATAGATGTCTTTAGTTTGTATCGATCTAGAGTCGAAGGGATGCAATACATCTGTCAACTGTTACAATGACTTCAAACTTATTGTTGCACCTGGGAAAAATGGCGACTAAGAACTCATAGCTTGTCAATGTCAGCAAAAGACCTCAAATTTCTCTCAAAAGTTATACCACTCATTGCAATTTGGTTTTGCAGTGTTTTAAGACCCTCGTTAAGTGGTCATACTCTGACAACTCATATATTAGCATGAAAAAACTGTGAAGCTTGTTTGAGACTTTAGAAGCCTGACATCTCATATGATTACTTTTTGAACCACAGACTCCTCATTGGAGGATGATATATATATATATATATATTTAAAGTGATAAATTACGCAACTTACACACTCAGGTGCTAATGCAGGGTTTGAGCCTTGGATCTCATGCCTGCAGTGAGGTGGCGTTGTCACTAGGATAACTTGCCATTGGGCTCATTGCAGGATGATAATTGTCAACTACTTTTGCAACATTTATATGGTTGCATAATCATTAATCAAAATGCAATCACCTTTTATTATTATTATTATTATTATTGTTGGTTAGTGATGGTATGGGTGAAATCTGTGCAGATTATCAGGCTTGCAAGGAAACTGCCAACGGGTGATGTGAGTGCATTGAAGGTTGATGGAGCCAAAGAGGAAGAAGAGGAGGCACTAGACGAAAATGATCTCACTTGAATACTGTTACTGCTTGTATGACGTCTCTTGTGCGTCTGTTTATATATGATGAGAGAAAGGTTGGCAGCCCCATTTGATTGTGTTGACCCGTACATACAGGTGTTATATAAATAATTTTAATTTGTGCTGTTCTTCTTTCTGTTGTATTATGACGTCCTATGTTCCAGTTTGTGCAAGAGGTTTTTTTTTTTTTTGGGAAAATAATTTCGTGGGTTGAAATTGGAGCTCTTAATTTTTCAATCTCATGGGGTTTCTGTACATGTGTTATTGACTCAATTTTCTGTAGAATTTGGTAACATTGAGGAGGACACTGTCCAGAGACACAAAAAAAAAAAAAAAAAAAGAGGGGGGGGTTATAGATCAGTGTTTTGGATAGGAATAAAGGGAAGTAAATGAGAATTTGATTATTATTTTATTCACGAGGAACAACGGCAGTATGAATGCGCAAGCCATGCATGTTAATAATAGCAAATATTTCCATAATGCTTGGTGAACGTAAAGAATAACATTGAGCTCTTTTACTAAGTGGGAAAAACATTGGAGGACCACAAAAAGTTAAAAAGAAAAAAAAACACACAAAACAAAAAACAAAAACCAAAACAAAAAAGAAAGGGAGATTGTATTATTCCTACCACCCTTGGTCCTACAGTAATTTGTACCTGAAAATTTAAAAGAAGTGACATTAATTAAAATGTTTCACATAAGATTAAAAAAAATTATTTAGTTTTTATAGTTTTGATTCAATTTTAATTTATAATTTGATCTTTGTAGTTTTAACTCAATTGTAATTTAGTGTCTAAACTTTTATTCTTATAGTTTAAACCTTCTAAAATATTAGTTCTTATAGTTTAAAAAAGAAAATTATAAAGATTAAAATTATTTTTAAATTTTAATCTTTATAATTTTTATAAAAATTAAAAGGGTTTAGTAATTTAAAATTTTAATCCTAAATTTTCACATGATTTTAATCTTTATAATTTTAATTTTTTAAAATATAAGAACTAATATTTTAAATGGTTAAAATTATAAAGATTGATAAAAGTCAAAGTTTAGAGATAAATTACAATCAAGTCAAAATTATGAGATCTAAGTTATAATGAGTTAAAATGTAAGAATTGAGATACAATTAAGTAAAAATTATAAAGATAAAATGATTAATTTTTTTAAAAAATAAATAATAAATAATGTTGTGTCAGCTTTTATTTAATACCAGTGCGAAAAATGTTCTTCCCACACTATTGGTGAAGTCCCTATTGTCACTCCCCTACCCATGATCAAGTCATTTGCCCCTAAAATTTGTCTCTTTCTTTTATTCCAAAAAAATTCAAAATTTTTGTTGAAGAAAATAATTAAATTTTCTCACAAGCAACACCGTGGGTTTCCTGAAATAAAATTTCAACGATTATTCAACTATACACTTCATTTACTCATTTTTATAACGTGTTTGAGACTTTTTACACAGATTAAGAAAAATTATTATGTTGCTTTATTTGTTCAAAAAAAATCTCAAATTTTCAATTACGCCCTTCTTAATTAACGGGACATAAATATTATTATAAAAATTGTAGCCAATACGAGAGGGGTTCTTTGTTATTTGTACAAAGCCATCTTGTTTTTTCAAATTTCAAGAATACCATGTAAACTAAAGGTATTTTTGTAAGGCACCTGATAATTAGATTACTTTTTTATTTCTGTAAAACATTTTATGAAAAAGACTTGAAGGAGTATCTTATGATACTTATTTCTTTCACTTTTATCGTGGTGAATAGAAAAAATACATTGAAAGGGTTACCTTTAAATTTAACTAGATATAACAATGCTTGAATCTAATATGATAATGTCAGATATAACATATTACATTAAAGAAAAGTAAAAATAGAACATGCATGGTTGTTTGCACATAAATTGTGAATTTAAAGGCTCGGGCTCAACTCAACTTAATCAATTTTTTTAAGAAAATATATTTATTAAGCTTTAACCATTAAGTCAAAACTATTTACATTTCACCTATAATAAGTAATCACAATTGAGAAAGTGCTTTCTAAATTTAAGGAAAGTGGCAATCATGGAGTTTGGGTAGTTAGGATTATATATAAATAAAAGAGCCTTCTCTCAACAATCATCATCATCAGTATCAATAAACTATCAGTCAAATTTTTAGACTTTGCCTCTGCTACTTTATTTTATTTTTCTTTTTATCATTTAGTTTTAGTCTTTATTTTTCTGTTGTACTTTTAATTAATATATCTTTACTTTCATGCATCTATATTAATTTTTTTCACTTCACATTCTCACATTTGGGTGAACTATGATAAGGGAGTTCAGGTTTCCCATGTTTGATTAAAGTTAAGTTTTTCTATTCTTTTGAAATCCCGCATCTTTGACATGCCTTACGACACCTTTTTTTTTGTTTTTGCCGAACAAAGGTAAATAGAAATTGACCCCAAAATTGGAATGAACTCTTAATGTCTAAATAATAAAAGTATGACCAAATGAATTTGCCTTGTATAAGAATGGTTAGGAATTTTTCACTTTTTACCGCTATAGGTGGAGCCATACTTAAGAAGAAGAAGGAGAAGAAGGGGAGGTCTCAGAATGGGTTCGACCATAATCAAAATAGTTTCCAATGGATAATTTATTAATCTTGTTTGAGCTTATTGAAGATTTAGAGGCACTCTCAGGATACGAAGTAGCACACCCATGTGGTATATCTTTCTTCTTATGACTCATTCTGCTTCAACAAGAAAATGTATAGCAACACTTGATATATTGGGATTTATTCTTTGAAAGTGTGTGGAAATGGACATTCTTCGAAAGTGTGTCCTAATTTCTTTCAAGTTTCATAATGAGAACCATGGTTCAGCGCCTTAGTTCACTGAGTTTGCTTGTTCACTCGGTCAAATCAAGGTTCCTGAAAAATGTGTGTAAAATGAAAATTAAACTTTGTGACAGTGTGCAACTCATAAGCCTGTATATATGCAAATCAAAGTTTTGTGGAAATATTTGCAAATTTATTCGAAGTTTTATCAAAATTTTCTCAAGTTTTCAAAACAATGCCTTTTATTGCTGAAGTTTCCTTAAAAAAATAAAAATAAAATCCAGGCTTCTTTATTAAGTTTGCTTGTTCGCTTGGTGAAAAGTTAATGATTTTTTTTATTTTTATGAAATGACTTGGATATTTCCATGATTTGCATATTTCACTTGAGGAGAATGATATAAAAATGCCCTCAAAATTCACAACTAATCATTAGGTATTGTGAATGTGATTATTATTTTCTAGTTTCTGGACATTTGTTTGTCAATTAGTTTTAATATGAAAATACTTTTTTTACCCTTATAAAAAAAAGTTGCACAAAACAGCTTCTAATTTGTTATTTTATTCTAGTCATTTTTTCAAGAAAATTAGTCATTCCTAAAAGAAAGAAGTAATTGATTTTTAGTTGTTAGTTTCACTAATAAAAAAAAAATGGCATAGAGCAACTTGTAATTTGTATTCTGCTGTAGTTATTTCCGCAAGAAAGCTAGACATTTCATAAAAAAAAGTAGCAACTACTTTAGACTTTACTGATAAAATTTTTTGCATAGAGAAATTTATGATTTTTTATTTCATTCTAGTTATTTCCTTAAGAAAACTAATCATTTACTAAAAGTAAATAATAATTGATTTTTAGTTGTTAGACTTTTGATTAAAAAATTCAAAAAACAACTTGCATCATTATTAAGTTGTAATAATTTCTTTAAGAAAACTAGTCATTTCTCACAAGAAATAATAATTAATTTTTATTTACTAATTTATTTTAAAATTTAAAATAGGGGCAAATACATTGTTTCACAAAAAAAGTCATGTAAGTTTCTAGGTACTAGAAAATAATTATCATATTTTGTGGTACTTAATTGTTATCTATATATTTCAGGAATTTTTTTTTATCATTTTTCTCATTTAATTTATTACATAATTTAACGATAAAAAATGAAAATACATTTAATTTTTTTTGCCCCATGGACAATATGTCCGGCTTAGCCCGAACCAATGGGCCATGACATGAGTCCAAGGTTTAAATATGTTGGGCTTTGGCCCAAAATTCCTTTAAATTTGGTTTGGGCTTGGGGTGTCTAATCGGGTAGGGTTTTCGAGGTTCTGCAACTTGCCCTTCATATCCTTCTTCATCACCACCAAGCCAAGTCCGATCTCCTGCTTAGCGTTCGTACTCCAAAGCGGACCTCTCGACGTTCTCATTATGGTACTCTCTCTCTCTTTCTCTCTGCAGTTTTCACTCCGTTAATTAGCGATTCGTTAGATTGTAGATTCTGCCTTCCTTCTCTATGGTTCAGATTAACTATAATGAAAAATGGATAACTTGCGTCCTTTTCCTTTCGGGGATTTGATTGATACGTCTTTGATGAATTTGTGATGGCGAGACTTTTCTACTTGAAAAGGGATGTTCCTATGATAATTTGCTATCTTTTTTTCTTCTGTTTTTTTTTTCTTTGGCCTTGTTGTAGAATGAATAGATAACCGTAAAAGAATTAATTTTTAGATAAATGGCGTGTACGTAGTTGAGATTTAGAGTTGGTCCATTGTGGACAACCGTAAAAACATTGTGTCATATTCATTTTTTAGGCCTTCTCTGAATTCTTTGTTATGTAGGAATTGAATTCGGAAGAAGTCAGTTATTCTATCAGCCCCTGTTAAATAGTTATAGTTTCTCAAACACTTTCAACATCTATTTACTCCTTAGATTCTTTGTTGTTGGTTATGCATGCCTAGTTGAAGGAATTGAATTAGAAAGAAGCCAGTTGTGCTATAAGTTTCTGCTACTAATTACTTATAGTTTCTAAACTTTATTGGTATCCTTTCAGTTACCCCTTATTGCTGCTAAAGATTCTTTACCATTGGACATTCAGATTACTAGTTTAGGTCCTTTTGTATATTTCTGCTGACACTTGATAATGCACTGTGATTTTCAATTTGTATATCGATGTTGCTAGAAGATCTGGTCTTGGCAATTGATGTGTTTTGTAGGATCTGGTCTGGGCAATTTTAATGATTTGGTTGAAAGATGGAAATTTGGTCTCAGTATGAATGAACTTAAGGAAAAAAAGAACAGAAAATAAGGGAGATATGTCCTAGTTCAACACTATTGGACGTTCAGATTACTAGTTTAGGTCCTATTTGTATATGTCAATGCTGACACTTGATAATGCGCTGTGATTTTTAATTTGCATATCGAATCGATGTTGCTAGAAGATCTGGTCTTGGCAGTCGATGTGTTTTGTTGGATCTGGTCTGGGCAATTTTAATGATTTGGTTGAAAGCTGGAAATATGGTCTCAGTGCATGAATTAACTTAAGAAAAAAAAAACAGAAAATAAGAGAGATGTAACCTATGTCAACATTGTGTGTCAATGTTTCTTTGATTCTCAGCATATTAACATTTTCTCTTGGTTTCCAAAATTATATATATATATATATATATATTGTGCAGCCTAAGCAAATCCACGAGATTAAGGATTTCCTTCTGACTGCCAGAAGGAAAGATGCAAGATCAGTGAAAATCAAGAGGAGCCGAGATGTTGTCAAGTTCAAGGTCCGATGCTCCAAGTACTTGTACACACTTTGCGTGTTTGACCCAGAGAAGGCTGATAAGTTGAAGCAATCACTTCCTCCAGGTTAGTAAAATTGAATGATCCTTGTCCTTTATTTGATGCACTTAAATTGGATCATGTACACTGTCCTATAGACCTATACACGCATGCACGCAGACACTCTCTCTCTGGACATCTATCTTCTCTTTTCTTTCTGTCTCTTCAGTTTGTGTGCTGTATATATAACACATGGCATTTTAAATAACAAGCCACTTGCGTCTAAACATGTGTCACAACACTTGAAATTACACATCACTTAAGATTTATAATGTACTTCCTCTAGTCTTTTTTATAAGACACTTCAAGCTACCACACTAGAATCAAGGAGGGGCAGTAAAGTTATAAATTTTGTCTAAAAATAAAATAAACTTCCAATCTTACTTTTATTTAAATGAAAATTTTTCAAATTTACATTGCATTCTCTCTTAGTTAATGAGTTTAAATAAGGATAATATTGGAAAAATGCAATTTATATCCCATCAAGTGTCTTATATTAAGGATGAATTTTTTTTTTTTTAGAAGGCGCTTTATAATAGGGACCAGTGTAGTATTTTTGTGCAAATGTTCATGATTTCATCGGGTGCCATATCATATTGAATTCCACTCTAAAATGTATTCCCCTTTATGTTTGCAGGTTTGAGTGTTCAAGATCTGTAAAAGAACTATGGAAGAACAAGGTGTTTTTTCCCCACATGTTTTACTCGTGTTGGTTTCTTAGTCATTCTCTAGTGCCTTGTGTCAAGAGATGGTTCCCTAGCATGTTTGGGTAATTAATTGTTGTCTTTCCTTGTCAGGAAACATGATTTTTTTGGTCTCTTATGTGGGAAAGGAAAGAAATTTCGTTTTATAATCAAGTGGATTGACTTAAATCGTCTTTTTTGTTTCATGAATGCTTTTCCTGCCGTGGCTAAGAATCAAAATGAAAGAAAAATTGTGAATATTGTAGAATTTGAGAATGCCATAGTTTTAATAGATTTGGATATGAAAAATATGTAGCTGTCTATTGGAGTTTAGAAAGTTACAACCATTTTGAACCCTGTAACATTATGCATAAATAAAAAATTTTAGCTAAGTACAATTTAGTTGTAACTCTAAGCATTTACAACTTATTTTTATAAGGCAACTTCCGCTGCACATAAGAAGGGCCAAATGCCCAAGTCGTCTTATATTTTCTTTCTATTAAAATTTTGTAATCTTATTTAAAAAAAATTAAATTTATTAAAATGTTTCCTTTCCTCCTCCTCAAGCAGAGTATAAGTGAAACTGGCATCTTTGTATACTGAATACAGATACAGTGACATGGCATATCTTGGCTGGCATTCAAAATGGGAGTTGGCTTCTCTCCATTTCCTTCCCTTTCCATTTTCTCTTCACTTCTCATCTCAACCATTGAATCTATTTTTAAATAGTTGAGATTTAATATTTTATAAAATTATTATTATATTTATTTTTTATTATAATAATAATTTTATAAAACATCAAATCTCAACCATTCCAAAATAGATTCAATGGTTGAGATGAGAAGTGAAGAGAAAATGGAGAGGGAAGAAAATAGAGATAAGCCAACCCCTGCAAAATGGGGGATATTTTTGATAGGTTCAAAATGGTTGGCAAAAGCCTCATCAAACCCACCTTAAGATTGGGCTGACATTTAAGTTTCATTCTGAATTATACAAATTGAGAGTTATATTTAGAATTTAAATATTTTATTTATAATTAAATTTTAGAATTTATAATTATCTAATTATTATTTGCAATTGTTTTTTAGAAAATTTTTCTGGCAACCTTGTTATTATAAGTTTATTTTTTTGAGATTTTAATATCTTTTTCCCTTTTAAACATCTGCCGCCACAGAAAATGTCATGTTTCAAAATCTATTAGAATCTAGAAGAGTTACAAGTGTCAGGAGGACAAAATTAAAAAGTGTTGAAATGCGAGAGACCGACTTGAAGGTTGGTTCAACTGTGAAGAACCAAAATATATAGGATTTGAGTTTGCTATATATCCAAAAAGTGTTCTTACTTAAATATCTTACATGATCAGCATCTTACTTGGGTTGCTCTATTTGCGATTGGGCAGATCAGTCTTTTAAAAAAACAAAACCAAAGCATCTTTATGCGCTGCTTTAGATTTTCAAATCCTACAAGATAGTTACAATTGTAAATTATTGCAAAAGTAATTGCACATAGTTGGTGTTGAATTTTGTTAATAACATATGATCAGTTTAACTATTAAATATGTCAAGTTATAATTATAAAATGTTGAAGTGATAATTATAAATTACTGATAAAATAATTATCTGCATTTAATATTAAACTTATAATGCATGATCATTTTAACTATTGAATATGTAAAATTATAATTATTAAAAAAAATACAAGTGGTAATTATAAAATTATTGATAAAATAGTTATATATTATTTAATTGATATAATATATTTTTAATAAAGGTATTTTGTGTATTTGCATCACAATTTTAAATTACACTCACATTCTAACAAATTTGGTTGTATTTTTTAAATTTTTTGAAATTTATTTAAAAATAAATATGCTTAGAGCTATGCATAATTTTCTTATTTAAATTAAATGATTGACCGAAATTAAATGGGCCGAAGCACAAAAGAATCAGTTTGTTTTTTTGAAGAACTCGGTCAATTTACCACTTTATTTCTTTTGTTAGATCATTCTTAAGGACAAAGTGAAACTGATTCATAAGTAGTTAAGAAGATTTTTTTTTTCCAAGTTCATATTCATTTGAGAAATAAGAAGAAATGAATATCATAAGAAGCATATTTATTTTATAATTCCATATCTCAAGTAATTGATTTTTTTCCGTCAGGAAAAAGAATAATTGTTTGTATTCATTTAATGTTTCTTTCCAAATAGTAAAAGAGACTACAGCTAATAAAATGCTTGTAAAATTGTAATATATCTATGTGCTGCCTAGGTAACTTGCAAATGCTTGCTGTTATATGTATGATTTGTTTGTTCATATTGTTCGTTACTTTCTAAAATCACATGCTCATACAAAACTCCTTGAAATTTATAGACATATTTAACATTTAAAATATTCAAAAGCATTATAACCAAGAACACGTTAATTCAGGGCTTGTTTAGTTTTGTTCTATTTTTTGTTTTTAAAAACTGTTTTTATAAACCAATTTTTAAAAATTAGTTTTCAAAATAAAACTTAATAAAAATTATTTTGATTATGTTAATGTAAAAATAATTTTAAAATAGAAAAAAGGCCAATAATAGTGTCTCCGGTAGATATAGTTAATGATGATGGACTATGATAGTAATTGATCATAGCTAAAAGTAATTTACAAGATCAAACATAGTGTGCTTTAAAAATTAAAAACAAAAACAAATATAAGATGTTTTCGTTTCTTGTTTTTAAAAATAAAAAATAAGAACAATTTTAAAAATATTTAAATATAAAAAAATTATCCATATATATATATATATATATTTTTTTTTTTGCTTTTAGGTTAACGGTTTTTCAAAATAGAAATTTGAAAGCCCATTCTAAACACTAGGTTTTTTCTTAAAGGAACAAACGGTTTCCCAAACATGTTAAAAAGTAAAACCATTTAAAATTATTAGGCGACGTTTGATTTATGAAAAAGTGAAAGAAAATGATAATGATATATTTCTCAGTTCCTTTTTTAAAAAAAAAAAAAACATTTTTCTACTTGCTGAACATTGCATGAGTAACTATTAGAAATCAGCAATGATTAACCATGACAATTTTAGAGCCTGATATACATTGCTAGTTATCACAATTTTACAGTACCGACATGTGAGTGCTAGTTTTTTACAACCCAAACAAAAAATGCTTGATTTTTCTCTTACATTCACTTTATAATTATAATTTTTGGGTTTTCCAGTCTTATCACATTTGATTTGATGATCACCTAGCAAATTTATTTTCTTTTGGTCGTAAAGCAGAATTGAAGCAGAGTCAATGAACTATAAACGTTGTCAAATTTAGCACAATCCGGAGACTAGAAAGAATTCACTCCAGAAACAGTTTCATTATAAGATTTTATCTAAAATAAAAATAATAATAATTCGATGCCGATATTTATGAAATCTATTTTTTTTTTTTCACTCACTTTTGCTTTTGTACTTGTATTTTTTTCCCCCCACCAAATGGGAAACAAGAAAGAACTCAGTACAGTGTACAGAGACAATTTCATTATGTTCAATTGCAATGTAACAGTGGTATCACAAATCACGGAACTCTCTAAAACCTATACACTTACAATGTGATGAAAGGATCTTATCAATTGCACGAAAGATCGTACCTCAAAATTGAGTGATTCCAGAAATTAAGAGCGATAATTCTTTCACTTCTTGATCAAACAGAGCCTCAATTATCAACGAATGAAAGGGATTCTCTGCATCTTGAACACCAGAACCCAACAAAAATTCAAGAAAACAATGGGTGCTTCGGTGCACGAGCATGCTGCTTCCGAAGGATCTCCGATTGGCATAAACGGCGGCGTCAAGATTCCCTCCAGTGATGGTGGCGGTGGTGTGAGGACCTCCGGCATCGGGTTAGCTGATGTAGTTTCCGTGGTCGGAGGTGGCAGGAGAGGGAAGGAGTAACCGAAAACAGAGTAATCAAGAACACCAGCCACTCCATGGACGGCGATGGAATCAGTGCTGTAGAGGTTTGGGTGAGTGATCGGAATGTTGTCGAGAGTGAAATTGAAGTGAGAATTGTTGTTGATGACAATGGACATGGCGGGGAGGAGAGTGGGAAGGCGAGTGTTGGGCTTGAAGAGGAGAAGATCGGAGAAAGAGAGTCGCTGGGGGACGATATGGTAAGGGAAGAGAAGCGGGTCCATGGCTGGGTGGTTATCGGAGATGAGATCGCTGCCGTCTTGAGGGACAAAGAGGGTGGCGCTCATCGGGAGCATCAATGGGTTGGCCAAAGAGAGGATGGTCACCCAACTGGTGAAGTCGCCGGCCCCGATCAGGGCGTCGATAATGTTGCGGAGCTGCTGCGGCGGCGGCGGCGTTGGCACTGCCGGAGGCGGTGGCTGCGCGATTGCAGACAGTGAGAGGAAGAAGGAGATGAAGATGCAGAGAATGTCCATGTGAATGAGAAATTTGCAGAGTGAGAACGTTTTCATTCTTGCACAAAATCTTCCCGCCAGTTCGTCCCTCAGAACAACGAACGTCACAGATTATTTTCTCTCTCTGCAATCTGCAATGAAACAAATCGTTTTATTTTATTTTATTCCCCTATCTAGAATCCTAAATATCATAGCGCGCGTGTCATAGAAAAAAATCTTAAATTTTAAACTTTCTTTTTAAAACAATATAAAGTAAGAATATTCTTTTTTAAGTTGAATTCTGTGAATGACAATTGAGAATTACATGAAAGTTGGTTTTATAAGTAAATTGTAATAATTTTTGTTTGAATAATCGAGAACTAATTTATTATATTTTGAGTGAAATAAAATGCAAAATCTTAAAAAAAAAATCCCATTCTCAATTTTTTTGTGATTAGTAAAATTTGTTTGTTTGGCAAAAAAAATAAAAGAATTAAATATATTTTAAATTAAGATAATTTAAAATTAAATTAAATTGATGATTTAAAGTTCCAAAGATGAACTAGGCACATTCACTTCTTGAATAGCAAAGAATCCAAATATTTATGTGAACTTTTTGAAAAAATAAAAATAAAAAAGGGCACAGGTCAATGTAAATGAAAGAATATATGATTAATTTCTTATTCACTTTTTGATGTCTATATCCTATTTAAAAATGTTTTTTAAAAATATGGTTTTAAAGAATCTGATTGGGCAACTTGAAATTTTAACAACATGCATAAATGTATCCTTTATAATAATTTTAAATTTTAAAGTTCATTAGCATAAATATCTTCATTTTAAGATCCTTAAATATTCCCCATGTTGGGCCTGAAAAAAGATTATTGGGCCACCAAAGTCTGAGACCAATGAGGACCCAATTCGGCGCTCCCATAGGTGAAACGACGTGATGCAGAACCAAAGCAGAAACAACCCCCACTTGGCAGGCACTACATCATCGCACGACTTCCTAAAATTCCACAGCATGTCTTTCATAAGCGCTGTGGGACGGGAACGGTTATTTCCCCATTGGCATGTACTCTCTCAATCATATTTATAAATTATTTTTATTATCCTTATTAATATCAATATAATAAAAATATAAAAATTAAAAATAATATAATTTTAAATATAATTTTTAAGTAAAAAATAAAAAATAAGTCAGTCATATAATTTTTTTTGTCACTCTTACTTTTTAAGAATAATTTAAAAATTTTAATTGAAAACAAAATAATTCTATCAACAAATGACTTATAAAATGAACTAAATTATATTTCTAGAAGGTGGCTAATATACAGGATTGGAGGAGGAGAAGAGTTTAAATTGAAAAGATTTTCATAAAAACTCCTAGATCAAAAATAATAAAAAAGAAAACCTCTAAATTTATGAAACTTTACTACTGTAGGTCTAGGCATTGAATTGAAATTAAAATTATCTAGAAAATGACAATATTGTCCTACTGAAATTGAAAAGAAATTTAATGAAAAAAAATGAATGATGAATATAGGGTTACAAATAAGTAAAATAAAGCAATGAACAATAATTGAAAAGAATAATAAATAACATACAGCAAAGACACAAACAAGCCAAACTTATATAAAGACAATACTTGAAATTAATTCTAGTGAAAGTGTTTCAATGAATAAGTAAAATAAGGCAATAAACAATAGTTTAAAGAATAATGAATTGCATAAGCACATATAGTAAAAACATGAATAATTTGTACTAATATGAAATCAACATTAGAATTAATTAAAGTAAAAGTGTTGTGATAAATAAGTGAAATAAAATAATAAACAACAATAATGATAATGAACCACATACAGTAGAAAAACAAACAAGTTGTGCTGACATAAAAACAATATTTAAAATTAATTAAAGTGAACATGTTGTAATGAATAAGTAAAGTAAGGTAATGAATAATAGTTTAAAGAGCAATGAACAACATATAAAAAGGATAAGAACAAATTGTGCTAGAGAATTTTAATTTTAATTTAATACCCTAAACTTATAGTGAAATTTTCCCATTTAAATTCAAACTACACCAGCTTTTTTTAGTATTATTAGAGAAAGAATATAATTGGAATGGGTAATATTATAAAAGTATTAGTGATGAAATCTTATTTATATCAAAAAAATTTATGTTTTAAGATACTAAATCTTATTAATACCAAATTTATTGCATTTAGTCTCAATCAACCGAGGCTTAGAACCAAAATAACGTAGTTTTTGAAATATAACAACGAAACAACTTTACAACAATTCGTAGGTTCATTTCATTCGAGTTGAACATGATAAGATAATTTCTTGACTGTTTAATAGGCTCTTCGTAGAGATCGTTAACGTTCTCATTTTTGAACATATAAAACTAAACACGATAACATTTAGTTTATAAATAATTCATATTAAGTGCAGCTTGATGATGATACTGATATAGCAACCTAAGATTTTTGCATTATTGTTGGTTCAAGAATCAAGACTAAGAAAAGAATCCAAGATTGTTAATTAACAGCACCACCTACTTGTTGAATCATCATAATTAACAGCGCCATAACATTTCATTTGCAGATACAGGAATTCCGAGATATTAATGATATTAAATACATAAAGATGTTGATGTAAATCCAAAAAACACCAGGCCTGACTTTGAAAAGGAAAACTTCATTTCAAGAGAAAAGTTAGTACTACTACATTTGTAATAGCCTAATGGGTCAATGACATAGTCCATATATTATCAGGTTATTGCTAAGTGGGGTACAAGTGAGCAAAATTAGCCAAATTTGGTCCCAACCTCACCCAGCAACCTTCTCTTTCATGTACCTCTGATCAAAGAATGGACCTAATCAATGGCTAAATGGAGTATGACTACCATGAATCAGAAATAATGGAGATCTTATTATTTTTCTATATCTACAAGCTTTTCTGGATCTCCTCTATCAGTGCCGCAATTTCCACTCTCCACTGAGAACTTTCAGCATCAGACCCCAGTAACTTCTGCATTGTGCTTAACTCATCAGGACTCGCTTTCTTCAACAATGCTTCCAGTATAAGTTTCATCCCTTCAAACGAGTCGCGATTTGCTCCTGCAAGTTTATCATCATTTTCATCCAGCTTTGTCAAATCAATGCCGAAAAATTTGGTGTCGACATCATCTGACAGGCTACTTGAACTGCCATGCACAAACTTAACGTCATCACTTGCACTGCTGGAAGATACAGAAGAGATTAATTCCTTGTGATTCCAGTACTCTATGCATTGATGACTGGGATCAAGAGCTTCAATACCCTGAAAGCATTTGTAAGAATGAGATCATATCAGTCGATGTAAGCAGAGGACTCATTTAGCATATATCCAAATAATTTAGCTGCCTATGAATGAAACTTAGCCATGGTAATCTAAGCTAATCGATTGCAACAGTTGCCAGTAAGTTGAGTTCTGAACAACTTAAGTACTGAGTTCTGAACAACTTAAGTCCACTTCTACATTGAGCATGCTACGTGGCCATAATATGCATGTTTACAAAGTTCAACATTTTTCAGTTAAGGTGTGTACAATTTGACCACAATACAATACTACGACGTATTATACATCAGCCATACAATGCGTTAGCATGCCAATTCATTACTACCTGGATAATTGATGGAGAAAGGAACCCAAACATTTTTAAACCATGGATGCTTTGCAGAAGCTCCAATGGAGGAAGTTTTAGTTCCCCTTGGCTTCTGCGCCTGATGATCTCACGATTTACTCTCTCCAGAACTGATTCCCAGCATTTCTCTGCTGACATGTTCGTGAAACCTTGACTTGGATGTTCTTCCATACTAACCTGAACAATATTCACACATGAGAAAGAAATGTACGCCAGTTGAAAGGATGAATTGCAATGATATTTGTGGTAACAAGAGCGGATTTCCTAACCATTCTAAAAATCACTAGCTTCATTTCTATTTTATACAGAACCAGATAATGATGCCACTGCATAAATTTTTTCCTTTGATGAATTAGATGGTGAGAACAATTGTCTTAACAACACATATGTAAGAAACAGTCATAACCAACATCAGATTAGCTCAGTTTTATAACTCATCTGCAGGTCAGACAACAAACCCCCTTGGCCCCTCCGATGAAAACATTGGCTGAAACTCATAGCAAAAGCAAAGGAAGCAACTTCTGTCATTAAAGCTGCATAAATAAACAATTTTCCCCGAAAAACTCCAGTTAAGAACAGACTACTCAAACATGCAAGTGTAACACCTACACGACTTTACATGCCTTCTTTCTCCCAAAACAGAAAGAAAAGAAATTATTTGATGCATCAAAATAAACATCTATTTGCTTCACTAAATTTTTTGGGTACATAATGAGGCCTAAAGTCCAAAAGGAAACTATTTAATCTAACAATAAACTAACCCAGTAATGACACATCATAGTTGGCTGAAACGTTTAAAAATAAGCTTATATTGAATCATTAAAATTATTGATATCATGACAATGAAAACCAAAGACGTTTGTGGCTATCAGCCAGAAATAACATATATGAAGAAACATTCACTTCTGCTTATTATTTCAAATCTGAAATAAGGTAAGGAATGATATGATACCTTGAAAAGAGGTCCGATTAAGCCACCATCAAGAACTTCAGAAATATAGCTACAGATTCTTGATGGATTAAGCATGCTAAAGAACTTGACACGACTCTTGAATCCTTCAGATGATTACCAAAAGAAGAGAAAAGTCAAATCCCAAAATATTAAATTAAAATATATGCAAATGGAAGGATCCAAGAACAGAAAATAACTGGTCTGCAGCATACCTTTTGGATATATCATGTGCTTACCGCACCACAGCTTTCCATGCACAATGGAGCCGAGGCTTATAGGTTCAACAGATATTGCAAACTTTCGAATTAGAAAGCTTTGGTTTTCCAAAGATGTACTTTTATTGAAACTGTCTATTGCTTCCATTTTACATGCACTGTTAGGTAATACTCTCATTCTCTGATGCATTGACAGATCATCCACAGACATCTTGCCACCATCAAATTTACTAGAAGTTCGATCACCCCTAGAACACAATGAGTAATCTTCTTCAATGGAGAAA